GTCTGGAGGAGGCGGCGATCGTGACGGATGAGATCGACGAGGAGGAGGCCGAGCACTACCGAGGACGGGCTTCGGGCTTCGAGGTCAAGTGGGTCAAGGCGCGTTCGACACCAGGTCGCACCCACATGAAGTTCGGGCCAGCGGAGCAGTGGGGCATCCTCAACGCCATCCTCATCAGGTACCAGGCGCTGTACACCAACGGCACCGACGGCAGGCAACAGGCAAAGTGCCTGGCGGAGGCAAAGGCGCAGGGCAGGGTCTTGCAGCAGATGGATCAGAGCCAGGTCTTCGGCAGGAAGATCGGCACCGCACAGCAGCAGATGTTCTACGATATGCTGGGCGACTTGGCGGACTTGGATGAGGGGCAGCTCGGCAACTTAGTCATGCAGGCAGAGGGCCACCTCGCCACCGCGCAGTCGCGTGGCTTTACGGCGCAGCAGAAGAACTTCACGGCGTGGGCCAAGAAGGCATGGGCAGGCAAAGTCGGCCTCCTCCATCGGCATGTGAAGGAGCAGCAGGCGCCGAGGTTCGAGCTGTGCACGGAGGAGATGGAGGGCATTGCGGACCCAGACGCCCTCATTGGCATCAGGAAGCACGAGTGGGAGCGCATATGGACGGACCCAGTCGACACGAAGGAGGACATTGCGTACCAGCTGGGCAGGCTCCGCGATCAGTCCTGGGAGCACGCGCTGGAGCCCCTCACGCTGGAGCAGCTCGACGGGGCCATCGCCGCGTCGTCGTCGGCCAAAGCAAAAGGAGTTGATCACCTTGGTCCGCACGATCTGGCTCGGGCCCCCAGACATGCAAGAATATGGTTACTTCACATCTTACAGTATTGCGAGCAGGAGGTCACATGGCCGAGGCAATGGGCAGCCACCATGTGCGCGCTGGCGGCCAAGCCCAAAGGAGGAGATCGAGTACTCGGCATGTTGGCCCTTCCCATCAAGCTCTGGTCAAGGGCTCGGGGAGGTTGCTGCTCAGAATGGAGTGATTCGGTATCGGCCCATTGGGACACAGCCCTCAAAGGCAGCTCAGCCCTCCGTGCGGGGCTCCTCAGGGCGCGCCTGGACGAAGTGGGGGCAGAGCTTGGGGCATCGGCGATGACGCTACTGTTGGACATCGAGAAGTTCTACGACACAGTCTCGCTCGTCATCCTGTCCCAGATCGCCCTCAGAGTGGACTTTCCCGCTGTGGTGGTGGCGTTAGAGATCACCGCGTTCGTGGGCCCGAGGTACCTGCAGGAGCGCAACATTCTCAGCGAGGCGATCTGGTCCACGAGGTCTTTGGTAGCAGGCTCTGCCAGAGGCGTGGGGTTGGCGAAGCTTTTCTTGCACCCGATATTAGAGAGGGCGCATCGGAGGGCGCCACAAGCTGCGCTGTGGACATTCGTGGATGACACGGTGGCGAGGCAAGAAGGTAGCAGGCAAACAGTCGGCGATGGCATCATCCAGGTCACGGAGATCATCACGGACGGCCTCAAGGATCAGAGGATGAAGATCTCCAGCAAGTCGGTCCTGATAGGCACCCACCCGAAGGACGTGAAGCGGACGGCCAAGTCCATGAGGAAGAGGCAGATCCCCGTCTACGCAGTCACGGAGGCAGTGGACCTAGGCCTGGATACGTCGGCTGGCAGGAAAAGGGTTACGACGAAAGCAAAGCAGCGAGCCAAGCGAGCGAAGCACAGGTTCGCCAAGATCGTGAGGCTGCGACGTACCGCGGCCCTGGCCAAAGAGAGTAAAGGTTTATGGATGGCTGGAGCAGTACCACAGGCAGTGTACGGTCACCAAGCTTTCGGGTTCGCAGTTCATGAGCTTCAACGGCTACGACGACAAGCTGGACAGGTGGCAGGAGGTAAGGCGCGTGGGCGATGCCTGACGACGACACTGGCGGTCGAGCTGTGGAAGGGCGACCCAGGGGTGGCAATACGAGTTGCCGTGGTCAAGGAGTGGATCAACCTGTGGCAGCGCCACCCTGAGAACCACGCCAGGATCGTCAAGGCATGGCCGCGGATATTCGACCGTCTGTCAAAGCTTGGGCCAAAACGCTGGAGAGGAGTTCGCGGACCAGTCGGAGCGGTGCAGGCGACCATAATGGACGTGGGCTGGTACGCACCAACGGCGACGGTGTGGATGCGACCAGTCGGAGCAGATGAGGATCCAGCAGAACAGTGGGACATCCCGTCCGTCATGGACGGCACTTTCGACAACACGGGGTGCTTCCAGCAGCTGATAGACGACTTCGAGGACGACATCGTAGCTCAATACTGGAAGGCTGCTGCAGCACACCCACATGGTGAAGGTTTGGAGGATGGAGCAGATGTTTGGCAGATCCGCGCGGAGCAGCGAAGGTTCGAGAAGCAGGGGCAGCTGGACATGGTGGGGGCCAACATCACCGTGGTCGCGGGAGGACAGTGGCCGAAGCAGCGATCTGTCGACCATGGATACCTCCTGGACTGCAAGAAGTGCGACAGGTGCAAGGAGGAGGACGAGACCCTGATGCATCGGATCTGGCTATGCCCCAAGAACGTGGGCCACGAGGACTTCACCAAGTCGGTGGACCTGCTGCCGGCTGCGATGGCGCAAGCAGAAGCTGAGCCTGCGCTGTGGCTTCGAGGATTGCCGCCAGCCTCTCTCACGCACCCTAGGTTTAATGATGAACTTTTAGAGGGGAGGGAGGTTCGGTTTGGTGAGCTGGGGGACTGGGGGGAGTGTCAGCACGAAGGTGAGATCCACATTTTCGGCGACGGCTCAGGAGGGAAGCACTCCTCGGACCCTCGCAGACGCCGCTGTGGATCAGCGATTGTAGCATTGCAGGAGCGAGACGGGGAGTGGATTGTGGGTCGAGCTGTAGCAGTCCCACTCCTCGGTCGCAGGCAAACGGTTCCCCGCTCGGAGATTTTAGCGTTCGCATTGGCGCTCGAAGAGTGCCACGCTGATTTTAGTTTCATTACCGACCACAGGACGATCGCGAAGACCTGGAAATACCGCCTGGAGCACCCGAAAGCCACGGGTCCCAACGAGGACCTTTGGGCCCGAGCCAGAGTGGCCTGGCAGACTTACCCAGACAGAGTTGTGAAGGTAGTGTGGACGGCGTCCCATCTGGACGAGACGCCAGAGCTGCTCGAATCGCCGCAGCAGCTGTTCATGGCAGCAGGGAATTTAGCTGCTGATGTCTGGGCGGGAGTCGGGGCGGAGCTGGCTTGGGAGTTCGGGCTGGTGGGGCGCGTTCCAGAGACTGACAAGATAGACGCGATCGCACATCTCGTGCGGAAGAGAGCGCGCAGATCTTTGCTACTTGCCGCTGCGTCGGAGACGTCAGAGCGTGCAGGTAGAGCCCCAGTCAGTAAGAGACTTTTAAAGCAGGAGAGAGTGATTCGAGATTCTCCCCACCAGCTAGAGCGAGTAGGTAGCAAATGGAGGTGCTCACAGTGCGATGTGATTGTGACTGGAGCCAGGTTTTTGCGTTTTTCGGTCTCCCCGTGTGCTGGTCCCCCTGGGAAAAGCAGGTCGGAGGTCCCTGAGTTCCTGCCGATTAAAGGAGTGGACCTTGAGATCCACGAATCCCACACGATCACCAGGGTCGACCGTTGGTTCTTGCAGATCTGTTCGGTCTGCGGTATGTATGCGACAGTGGACTCGAGGTCCTTGCGTCAGAAGTGTAGAGGTCTCACACCGAACGGTGCAGAGAATATCCGTCGAATTGAATTAGGCCTTTTCCCTCGGCGTGAGGGGCCCCCCAGAGCCATCAAGATGGCCATAGCTCGCAGAGACGAGAGTCGTGTCGTGTCGGCCCACGAGGCCAGGGGGTCGCAGGAGAACAGCGAGCTTGGGGGGGGCCCCGCCGAGCCTCCCGCGGTGACCCGCGCCCGCAACGACGGGCACGAGCGGGAGCAGCTGCGTTGTGCTGCCAACGAGTCGCGCTTGCAGGCAAAGGTTCAGAGATTGTTGGCTGCTGCGAGAGGCGCGGCTGTGCATGTGCGGGCGCCGCGGGAGGATTCAGAGTCTTCCGATTGACGGCAGATGTCCGTAAGCCAGGACGAAGACTGAGGGACAGAGGTCCGAGAGCAAAGAGGTCCAAAGAGGTCCTCCTCCTCCTCCTCCTCCTCCTCCTCCTCCCCCTCCTCCTCCTCCCCCTCTCCTCCCTCCTCCTCCTCCGCCTCCGCCTCCTCCTCCTCCTCCTCCTCCTCCTCCTCCTCCTCCTCCTCCTCCTCCTCCTCCTCCTCCCCTCCCCTCCTCCTCCATTCCTTTTCCTTACAACTAACTTCTCACTGTCGCACCCCGAGGCCAGTTTTGGGGGCGGGCCGGGCGTTGTGCCTCAGACCTCCTTACCATTTATGACTATGAGGCTTGAAAAAATGGCAACAGCTTTGCAGATGGAGGGCGGGTCGTTTTCAAAATGCGGCTCTCGCCTTCGCGCCGCGCACATTGGTTGTGAATACTTGCGAGAACTTACGGATTGAGGGCGAATAGTTTTCAAAATGTCGCTCTCGACTTAGCGCCGCGCACATTCGTTTTATACACTTGCGAGTGTCACGGATTGAGGGCGGTTCCTTTTCAACATTTGGCTCTCGCCTTAGCGCAGCGCGCATTCGTTGACAACATTTGCAAGAGTTTCACGATTCCCATGATCAGCGTACCAGGAATTCTGTTTTGGAAGAATTCAAAATAATGCGGGTGCAACAATTACGTTGCTTCGCGGTGTTGAAGTCCCAGGAATGGCTTTCCGGCACAAATCAGGATCGTCAAGACGTAACAATAAGTTTGATATGTGGCGTTGGAATCCCGGGAACAATGTTTTGGCATGCTTCAGGGTCTTCAAACGGTTGCCTTCCAACGAGGCAGTTCCCTCAATGGAAATGCACCGTTGTAGGGGCCTACGAAGAGGTAGCTTGGAGGGAGGGTTAGGTTTACTCCAACATCGCTGGAAACTCTTAGGTTTACACTGAAGCTCCTCCTCCTGCTGCTGCTCCTCCTCCTCCTCCTCCCCCTCCTCCACCTCCTCCTCCTCATCATCCGAAACTGCCACAATGTGCTGACAGCGGCGACACGTCTGCCGACGACGCCGCGAACGCTGCGAAAAAACGCAACCTGCTCGAAGAGAACAGACCACAGCACCTGGGAGGCGGCCAGGGCGTCTGAACTAACTACCTACCAGACCACCCCAACCCAACCCGAAGACCCGAATTTGATTCGAATTTCGGGTTGGGGGGGTTACGGGTTCCATGTGCTTTTTCAGTGTTCTCCGACCCCCCCCCACTGGAAATGGAGGGCAAATTGGAGCCTTCGGGTTGAGTTGGGGTGGTTTGGTGGGTGGTGATTAACTGGATCGGGCCCAAGAAAATCGATCAAGAGGGCGGGACGAGGCGCAAATCCGCTCAACATCGGTCCCCTGCAGCTGTTCCCCCCCGATCCGTTTTTGACGGCGCCGGGTCCCGAAAACGGCCCTGGAAGACCGGAAGAGGCTAGAGACCTCCTCGAACCCGGAATCTCGGACCTATGCCCCCCACCTTTGAAGGGGAACTGGAACACACAAATAAATACACACAAATAAAAATATCCCCCATATTTTCCCATATTTTCTGGGTTTTTGTCTTCCCCACCACTTCCCATATTTTTGCATATTTTCCTGGGAGTCGACGATTAATTGTGTCTGTGTGTTTCTTTCCCTCCTGAACCGTGCTGGCCGGAACCAATGCTGGGCCACCCCAGAGCCCCAGCCAGCTCCGAGCAGCACCCGCAATGCACGGGCGTCGGCATCTGCGCAGCCGTGCTCCACAAATCTGCGCGCCTCGCGCGCCCCGAGGCGGGCCTCGCCAAAATCGCAAGAAGAAAAAAAAACCTAACACGTGCGGCCGAGGGGTCCCACGGGCCTGGGAGCCCAGACCCCCTCGAGTAATGAAAAAATCACGACGGGAGGTTTTTCCTAACTTTCGGCCTCCGGGGGCCCTCACCGGGCCTCGGGAGCGTCAAAAAACGACTCAGGATCACAAGCCGGTCATGGGGAACGGGTCGGGACCTCTGGGGGTCGACGTAATGAAAAAATCATTACGTCGGGGGTCTGGGAGGTAGCCCCCCCCCCTTGAAGTGCGCGTTCGACCTGCCCACCCGTCGCACGGCACGGCACGACAGCCCGAGGAGCCGGCCCATCGGCACTCCGACGCCTCCGGCCACGCACTGCGCCGGCGGGAGAAGCACCCCGTTAGGAAGGCACCAACTATACACCAACACCGATCCTGGCCAGGATCACCCTGGGCCCAGGATCGGTGTATACGCCCTCCTGCCTTGCGCAAGAAGGCATATACACCGATCCTGGGCCCAGGGTGATCCTGGGCCAGGATCGGTGTTGGTGTATAGTTGGTGCCCTCCGACCCGTTAGGGGCCGCCGAGGCCGTCCCAGAAGTCGCACTGCGCCGACCGGATGCTGGACGCTACGGGCCCGTGGTCCTGGAAGATCAGCCCCTGGCCTTCTCGGGAGCGGCTAAGAGGGGGGTGTCCAAGAGGGGGGGGGGTGCAAATCATGACCGGCGGCATGTGCGCGGCCCAGCGGGGGGGCCTGGGACGTAATAAAACAAGAAGAGGCGCCACGAGATCTGGGGAAATATCATGGCCCACGCCATGATATCCACCCCCCCCTAGTCATCACCCCCCTCTTTTCCGCCCCCGGCCTTCGCCCACTGGCCACGGGGCCAACTCAGCGTAGCTCCCGTGCAGAAAGGCCCCGACCTTCTGCTGTAGCGCCCGGGCCGTCGGCAACCAGGCCGCCGGCAGCTCCGCCTGGAAGAGGAAGCGCTGGTCGGCCTCGTGCGCGAAGCCGGGGCCGAAGCCGGAGGTGTCCTCGCCAGGGAACCTGCTCTCCTGGGGCCCAGAGACCCAGACCCCCGACGTCATGATTGTTTCACGACGTCGACCCCCCGAGGTCTCGACCCATTCCCCAGGACCGTTTTTTCGTCCTGAGTCGTTTTTTGACGGTCCCGAGGGCCGGTAAGGCCCCCCAAAGGCCGAAAATAGTGAAAAACCTCCCGTCGTGATTTTTTCACAACGCGAGGAGGTCTGGGGATCCGATGTCGAGGTTTTTTCAATGCGGGGCCCCCGGAAGTCTCGACCCATTCCCCGGGACCGGCTTCTCATCCCGCGTCGTTTTCTGCCGGCCTCGAGGGGCCCGGCGAGGGGCCCCCTCGAGGCCGAGAGACAGGGCAAACTCCCGCCTTGATGTTCTCACGACGCTGGATCTCTGGGGGATCGGCGCATGAGCATAAACTTTCAGAGCTCTTCGCGCGGAGGAGGAGGAGGAGGAGGAGGAGGAGGAGGAGGAGGAGGAGGAGGAGGAGGAGGAGGAGGAGGAGGGAGGAGGAGGGGAGGAGGAGCGAGGAGGAGATGAGGAGGATGGATGAGGGAGAGAGGAGGAGGAGGGAGAGAGGAGGAGGAGGAGGAGGAGTAGGAAGGAGAGGAGGAGGGGAGGAGGGGGAGGAGGAGGGCAGGAGGAGGAGGAGGAGGAGGAGGAGGAGCAGAGGGGGAGGAGAGGAGGAGGAGGAGGAGGAGGAGGAGGAGGAGGAGGAGGAGGAGGGAGGAGGAGGAGGAGTCTCGGACCGGCGCTGGATCCCCCCTCCCTGGCGCGCGCGGAGCGCGCCGGTGGCCCAGCGCCGGTGCAGGGACTCCGCGCGGAGCTCCGAGCATCTGTCTCGAGGGGGCTGCTTTCCACCACCCACCACCACCTCCAGAAGTTGGAGGGGGATGGGGCTCCTCCTCCGCCTCCTCCTCCTCCTACCTCCCCTCCTCCCCCTCCTCCCCCTCCTCCTCCCCCCCTCCTCCTCCTCCTCCTCCTCTCCTCCTCCTCCTCCTCCTCCTCCTCCTCCTCCTCCCCCCTCCTCCTCCCCCTTCCTGCCTCCAACTTCTTTGGGTGGTGGTGGAAAGCGGGCCCATCATGTCGGTGCTGTTTTTCCTGCCTCGATCTCCCAGACGTACTGGAAGGCTTGTCGCGGCCATGCCGCCGCCACCCTCCGCGCCACGCAGGTCATGCCGCGGTCTCCCGCAGCCCGCCGCATGGCCCAGTACGCGGGCGAGTGGCCGCGGTGCACGCCATCGAGGGCGGGGACCGCGGCAGCACCCATGTACAGGTCGAAGGCCTCTCGGAGGTGGGCTTCTGCAGAAGAAGAAAAAGCTGCATGAGCAGCAGCTCTCGGAGCTCAGCGCAGACTTCTTGGAACGGTGCCGGGCGCGCCAGGGATGGGGGTCAAGCGCCGCCCCTAGACATCCGCGCAGACCTCCGAAAGTTTATGTTCATGCTGATTTAACTTCCTCGGCTCTGGCACAATACCCTTTACCCAGCTCTTGAAGTCTGCGGGCGTAGCGTCGCTGGGGAGAGCCGCCATACCTTCCTCCAGGCAGGAGCCCAGGATGATAGGCACGCTTTTCACTTTGCCGGCCCTGAGCGCGTCCATAGGACTCAGCTTCACCAGAATACCATCAATGATGGGCGCCCAGCTGATACCATCTCCTGCAGCGACCAAAGACTCCGCAGGGACGGTGAGGAGGCAGGAGCACGCGGGGCCCTCTCTCTGACACTCAGGGCTCGCTTGGCACCCCACAGCCTTCAGCAAAGCGTCATAGTTCTCTTCTGCCGTCTTCATGCCGAAAGCTGCCCAATCAGTAAAGCCACCACTGCTCATGATAGCGCCCTGCAGTGGCTGCGACTCGCCCAGGGAACTCAGAAGGACGCTCGCGGCAGCCGCGCCCGACGACCAGCCTCCGATCGTAATGCGGCCTGGGTCTCCACCAAAGTAAGCTATGTTGTCACTCACCCATGCCAGTGCCAGCAGCTGATCCAGGGTGCCCCAGTTCCCCGTGGAGTTCCTGCGCGCGCGCTCGCTCCCTAGGTAGCCGAAGGCTCCCACGCGCGTATCCGGCACGACCAGCACACAGTCCTGCTCGGCCACCAGGGGCCAGGCGGCCTCCGCTGAGAGGCCTGCGGCAGCTCCTGCCACGAAGGCACCGCCATAAAACCATAGCAGAACTGGCCGCTGGCCTGCGGCTGCTGGCGTGAAGATGTCTAGGTTGAGGCAGTCCTCGACGGCCTTGGTGTTGGAGTCGCCAGCATCCTGCATACAGGAAACTCTGCTTCTGCTGGCATCCAAGGCTCCCTGCCAAAACGCTGGCCGCGGGTCCTCCCATCTACCAGCCTTCCCGTATGGGATGTTACGGAAAACGGAGCCGCGCCCAGGAGGCGTCGGGGGCGGCCAAGAGGGGTGCGTCCAAGAGGGGTGCGTGCAAATCATGGCCCGCGGCGTGTGCGCGGCCCAAGGGGGGGGGAGCAGGGAACGCGTGGAAAGAAGCGGAGGCGCCGAGACGTCTGGGGGGACAGCATGGCCCCCGCCATGATACATCCCCCCCCCAGACATCCAACGTCTCGATTTTTTCGAGACGCGGGCCCCCGACCTCCCGACCACTTCCCTGGGACCGGCTTGTCATCCCGAGTCGTGTGTTGACGCTCCCGAGGCCTGGCGAGGGCCCCGAGAGGCCGAAGACTCGGAAAGAGACCTCCGCCTCGACCCCCTCTCGAGCCGCCCGAGGTCTGGGGCGCTGCCCCCTCCTGGCCACGCAGACCCCCGACGTAATGATTTTTTCATGACGTCGACCCCCAGAGGTCCCGACCATTTCCCCAGGACCGGCTCTGCATCCCGAGCCGTTTTCTGGCGCTCCCGAGGCCCGGCGAGGGCCCCCAGGGGCCGAAAAGCAGGAAAAACCTCCCGTCGTGATTTTTTCATCACTCGAGGGGGTCTGGGTCCTGGCCACCAGCCCCCTCTTCCCTGACTCCGGATCCGCCCTACTTTGGAGTAAATTCGTAAGTAGGGCTTGGAATTTCCAATTTCCGCCCTACTTTCTGTTGCGGTTTCCGCCCTACTTCTGTGGATTTCCGCCCTACTTTCTGTTGGGTGCAGCAATTTCCGCCCTACTTTTTCGGCCTCTTATAGGTGGATTTCCGACGCAATTTTAAGTTGGAAAAGAAGCCAAAGTAGGGCGGATCTGGAGTCAGGGTTGGCCGCCCCCGGATGCGCCGCGCCCGTCACGGAGCGGCCCGGGCCCAGGTGGACGCTGGGCGGCGGCGCCTCGCCTGCGAGGGAGCCCGGGGCGGCCGTGCCCGGGCCGGCTGCCGCGGGCCCGGGGGCCGCGCGGCGGAGGAGCGCGAGGCAGCCCACGGCCGCCGCGCTCAGGAGCGCCCGCCTCCGCCAGGGGCCGCCGGCGTCCCCAGACCCCCTCGAGGAATGAAACAAAAATCATGACGGGAGGTTTTTCCTGCTTTTCGGCCTCCGGGGGCCCTCGCCGGGCCTCGGGAGCGTCAAAAAACGACTCAGGATGCCAAGCCGGTCCTGGGGAAAGGGTCGGGACCTCTGGGGGTCGACGTAATGAAAAAATCATTACGTCGGGGGTCTGGGGAGCGCCCGCCTCCGCCAGGGGCCACCAGCGTCTGCGGGCGCCTCCAGGCGCCGGTACATCCCGCCGGGAGCTGCACCGCGGGCCCGCACGCAGAGGGGTCGTGGGAGGTGTGCGTGCCGGCGCTGGGCTGGAAGGGCTGAACCAACCTGGTCACGGCGGTGGTCAGTCCGGCTGGGAGCGAGTAGTACTCACTAACCCCGTCGCACACCATGCGCACGCACACACACACAATCACGTCATTCTCTCTGCTGCACGTGGGATGGATCTCGTCTTCACCTACGAATTCGCTCGCCTTCACTTTGGCCAGAACGGCCCCCCCCCCCACTGAGAGCCCAAGAGAAACCGATCTGTGCGTGGTCAAACCATGTGTTGAATGATTCACGGCTTCCATCATTGCTTCCATGCTCTCCCTTTCGGTGTGATGTCGTGTGGAATTTCCCGCGTCATCTGTTTGGTGATGATGAACCGTAGCTTTCTTGGCCTCAGCTGAACTTCTGTTTGAGCCATTCCGAACCTAAAAAGATAGCTCCAGCGAAACGCGCATGTTTGGTTTGGCCGCGTTTTCAACTGCGGACTCGTCTTGGTTGGTCTTGTGCTCCTGATGTGCCAACTTGGACCGTTCGTAGGCTCCAAGAAGGGCCTCTAATCGGGCCTCTACAGTCAGCCAAGAATCGTAGCACAAAAGGGCTCCGAGGAGTGATGCTTGCACATGTAGTCCACTGGTTGAACTCACACCTGTATAGGCGTATTCCTATGCAAGGGGGGCACAAGCGCAAGAAGCCACAAACGCAAATGGATGTTCGGGCCGGCTCATCCTGCCCCTTGATTTCTCTCTGCCCCTGGCACGGCCCAAGAGTATCACATTGACCACGGCTTGCACAATCTTTGCGCTGAAATCGATCTACTGCTGTCCTGAAGACCTTATTGGGCCTGTCGCGTTGTTTGCTGATTACTTGGTACCGTGTTGGTCTTCCGAGGGGTGGGGTCTTCAGAGGAGGTCGATGTGTTTGCTTCATGTACATATGTATGCATCGAAATATGTGTGTTGGTATGCATGTGTTTATGCCTCAATGCACATACATACGTACCCAGCACCAGTCCATGTTGCATCGGTTTTTGAGATCTTTAGTCGTACTCTTACTGATGATCCACCTTCTTTTCATCCGTACCTGCTCACTCCTCTTTCATATTCATCAGTTATCCGTTGATTATCGTGCTGGTCTGGGATCTGCACAATTTCGATTCTATTCCAATTAGGTTACAATTGGAATCACATTGGAATCAGCTGGATCTGGGATCCGCTCCACCCCAATCAGATTCGAAATAAATCCCGATAGGAATCTAATTGTAATCAGCTGGATCTGGGATCTGCTCAATCCCAATTGGACTCTAATTTGTTTTCAACATGAATGCACTTGGAACCAGCTGGATCTTGGATCTGCCCAAGCCGAAATAGATTTCAACCCGATCCCACTAGGAATCATTTTGGAAAGAGCTGTAATCTGCGACCTGCTCCATTTCTGAGTCGATTACAATCGGACTCGACTTGAAATCAGCTGGATCTGGGATCTGCCCAATTCCAATTATAGTCTAATGCGATTTTGATATTGGAAGCCACTTGGAACCAGCTGGATCTGGGATCCGCCGAATCCGAATCAGGTTTCAATTCGATCCCAATAGGGATCACATGGGAAAGAGCTGTAATCCTGGACCTGCTCCATTGCATGTAGATTCCCATTCGATCTCAATAGGGATCACAGTGGAATCCGCTAGATCTGGGACCTGCTCAATTCCAATTCGGTTCGAACGAGATGTTAATCGAATACCGTGGGATCAGCTGGATCCGTGCCCTGCTACATTCCATGTATATACTACTTCGATTCAATATGACCCCCACTTGGACTCAGCTGGATCTAGGATGTGCCCAATTCCCACACCATGTTAACTGAATTAGACCAGGAATCACATGCAACTCAGCTGGATCTGGAATATGCTTCTCTCTCTCTCTCTTTCTCTGCCTCTCTCGATATACCTCTCTCTCTCTCTCTTTCTGTCTCTGTCCCTGACTGCCGCTCTCTCCCTCTCTATCTCTTTCTCTCTCTCTCTCTCTCTACCTCTCCCCCCCTCTCCCCATCCCTCCCTCTCTCTCTCTCTCTCTCTCCCGAGCACCCAACACAACCCCCGTGAAAGCACACGGCTTTCGATGTCAAGGGTGCGGGAACCCTGCCCTCCTTCCCTCCCTCCTCCTCATCCTCCTCCCTCCCTCCTCCTCCTCCTCCTCCTACCTCCTCCTCTTCATCCTCCTCCTCCCCCTCCTCCTTCCTCCTCCTCCCTCCCTCCCTCCCTCCCTCCCCCCTCCCCTCCCTCCCTCCCTCCCTCCCTCCTTCCTTCCTCCCCCTCCATCCTCCTCCTCCTCCTCCTCCTCCTCCTCCTCCGTCTCCTCCCCTGCCTCTCTTTCCTCCTCCTCCTCCTCCTCCTCCTCCCCTCTCCTCCCTCCTCCTCCTCATCCCTCCACATCTTCCACCTCCCTCCGTTTTTCTCTCCTCCTCCTCCTCCTCTCCGCCTCCTCCTCGTGCTCGTCTCCTCCTCCCCCCCTCCTCCCTCCTCCCCTCCCCTCCTCCTCCCTCCTTCCTCCTCCTCATCCTCCCCTCCTCCTCCCTCCACTCCTCTTCCTCCTCAGTCGTTTTCCTCCTCTCCTCCGCTCCTACTCCTACTCCTCCTCCCCCTCCTCCTCCTCCTCCGCCTCTCCTCCTCCTCCTCGCCTCCTCCTCCTCCTCCTCATCCTCCTCCTCCTCCTCCTCCCTCCTCCTCCTCCTCCTCCTCCTCCTCCGCCTCCTCCTCCTCCCCTCCTCCTTCCCTCCTCCTCCTCCTCCTCCTCCTTCCTCCTCCTCCTCCTCCTCCTTCCTTCCTCTCTCCTCCCTCCTCCTCCTCCTCCTCCTCCTCTCCTCCTCCTCTCCTCCTAACCTCCCCTCCTCCTACTCCTCCCCTCCTCCTCCCTCCTCCTCCTCGCCTCTCCTCCTCCTCCTCGTCGGCCTCCTCCTCCTCCTCCGCCTCCTCCCGCCTCCTCCATCCTCTCCCTCCCCCCACCTCCTCTTCCTCCTCCGTCTTTTTTCTCCTCCTCCCTCCACCTCCTCTTCGTCCTCCGTCGTTATTCTCCTCCTCCCTCCGCCGTGCATAGGGCAGCAAACGAGCATAGGGCCAGACGTCCACTCTGCTGGCGCAGGAAGGCTACAGCACGAGCAGCGCCCCCACGCCAATCGGGGGCCATGCGGCGCCCGCAGAAGCTGGGGAGAGGCTGTGCCCCTCCCTCGGCGAAGAGGTGCTGCAGCTGCACTACAGTTGGACCTAATCCGCCTGCTCTTCCTCCTCCTCTTCCTGCTCCTCGTCTTCCTACGCCTGCGCCGCCACCTCCTCCTCCTCCTCATCCTCCTCCACCTCCTCCTCCTCCTCCTCCTCCTCCTCCTCCTCCTCATCCTCCCCATCCGCATCCTCCTCCTCATCATCATCCTCACCTTCCTCCTCCTCCTCCGCCTCTCCTCATCCTCCTCAGTTCCTCCTCCTCCTCCTCCCCCTCCCCGCCTCCGCCTCCTACACGCCTCCTCCTCCCCTCCTCCTCCTCCTCCTCCTCCTTATCCTCCTATCCTCCCCCCTCCTCCCCGTCCCCTCCGTCCTCTCCTCCTCCTCCTCCTCCTCCTCCTCCTCCTCTCCTCCTCCTCCTCCTCCTCCGCCTCCTCCGCATCATCCTCCTCATCCTGCTCCTCCTGCTCCGCATCGTCCTCGTCCTCGTCCTCGTCCGTTCCTCTCGGAGAGCTTGCCGGGCTAGAACTCACTATTCGGTATACCATTGGTCCTGTCGTCTATGTGTCGGACAACGAGGCGGTGGTGGAAGGATGGTGGGCAAGGAGGTATCGGGAGCCTGGGGGGGGAACTCGCTACCATGTGGAGGAGACTTGGGAAGGTCCTGGAGGAGCAGGAGCGCCCTGAGCACGAGGTCGTCGTCCTTTGGGTCCCATCACACTTGTCTGCTCGTGAAGCACTGGAGAGACAGCTCCCGATGCATTTTATCGTGGGCAGTACGGTGGTAGATGAGCTGTCTGACATTGCTGCCCGCGAGTGCAGGTTGCCTCAGAGTCAGAGAACGAGGGTGTTGGAAATTGAGAGTAAGGCCGCGTTGGTACGGAAAAGGCTAATGAGGGTCAACCTGGACGTGATGCGTATCACGAACAGCAGGCCTGATCAGCACTCCCCGTCGCCCGACGTCGTGCCTGCTGCCCCTTCCCCCCCTCCGCCTCGCCCTCCTCCCCTGCCGCCGCCGCCTGCCCCCGCGGCCGTCGCCCTCTTCGCGTCGTCTCACAGGGTCGACCCGCAGGGACGGCGGTGCGTCAGGTGTTTCACCTGCTCGAGCAAGGCGGCCAGGACCGCCTGGTTAGGCTCCCCGTGCGCGCCGCCCACCCATGTGCGTGGTGATCTTTACAGGGCGGCCCCAGGGTCAGGAGTACACATAGGGGGGGGTCACGCATTGTTCTCACACCATGTTGTATAATGCGGTCAATCGTATGTGGTATTGTCGCAGATGTGTCAGATTTGGGTCTGAGCAGATTCGAGATCTTGCGAAGCCATGTGTCGAGGTTCGCTTGACCCCCAAGCGGCGTGAATACCTAGACAGGCTGACCCGAGGTTTGAATCCCAAGGGCTAGAGTGTGTTGTGACGCTTCGCGTCTGTTCCGATTCTGATTCCGATTCCTCGTCCTCGTCCTCGTCCTCCTCGTCCTCCTCCTCATCCGAATTATCCATCATCATCGTCCTCCTCCTCCTCCGCCTCCTCCTCCTCCTCCTGCTCCTCCACCCCCTCCTCCTCATCGTCCTCCTCCTCCTCCTCATCATCATCCTCTTCTTCTTCTTATTATTCGTAGTTTGCTTCTCAGTGATGCTCCTCCTCCTCCTCCTCCTCCTCTTCCTCCTCTTCCTCCTCCTCCTCCTCCTCATCATCATCATCATCATCATCATCATCATCATCAACATCATCATCAACATCATCCTCCTCCTCCCCCTCCTCCTGCGCCTCCTCCTCCTCCTGCTCCTCATCTTCCTCCTCCTCCTCCGCCTCCTCCTCCTGCTCCTCATGCTCCTCATCATCATCGTCCTAATCATCCTTCTCCTCCTCCATTCCGCATCCTCGCCTCCCAGATCCCTCCTCCTGCTCCCCAACACCTCCTCCTCCTCCTCCTCCTCCTCCTGCTCCGCTTCCTCCCCCTCTTCCTTCTTCTCGTATTCTTATTCTTCTGCGTAGTAATATTAGTTTTCGTATGTTTGTTCGTCGCATTATGATAATCATCATCCGTATTAAGTATCTTCCTCCTCCGCCTCCTCCTCCTCGTCCTCCTCCTCCTCGCCATCCTTCTCATCCTGCTCCTGCTCATGCTCCTAATCCTGCTCCTCCTCCTCCTCCTCTTCCTCCTCGCTCCTCCTTCTCCTCCTCCTTCTCCTCCTCCTCCTCCTCCTCTCCACTCCCTCCTCCTCCTCCTCCCTCCGCCTCATCCTCCTCGTTCCTCCTCCTCCTCCTCCTCCTTCCTCTTCTCTTCGTCTCCTCCTCCTCCTTCCTCCCTCTTCCTCTACCCCTACTTACTCTCCTCTTCCTCCTTCCTCCTCCTCCTCTCCTCCTCCCTTCCTCCTCCTCATCATCATCATCAGCAAATCTCATCATCATCATCATCATCATCATCATCATCATCATCATCATCATCATCATCATCATCATCATCATCATATCAACATCATCATCATCATCCTCATCCTCATCAATCATCTCATCATCATCATCACCGCATCAGCATCATCATCATCATCATCATCATCATCATACATCATCCAGCATCAAGCATCAGCATCATCATCATCACTCATCAGCATCAGCATCATCATCATCATCAGCAGCAGCGCAGCATCATCAGCATCATCAATCATCATCATCATCCTCATCACATCATCAGCATCATCATCATCATCATCATCATCATCACACCATCACCATCATCATCATCATAATCATCATCATCATCATCATCATCATCATCAGCATCATCATCATCATCATCATCATCATCATCATCATCATCATCATCATCATCATCATCATCATCCTGCTCCTCTTCCTCCTCCTCGTCCTCCTCCTCCTCCTCCTCCTCCTCCTCCTCCCCCTCTCTCCTCCTCCCCACGCCCCACTCCCCACTCCCCACTCCTCCTCTTCCTCCTCCTCTTCCTCCTCCTCTTCCTCCTCCTCTTCCTCCTCCTCCTCCCTCCTGCTCCCTCCTGCTCCGCCTCCTCCTCCTCTCCCCCTCCTCTCCTCCTCCGCCTCCCCTTCCTCCTCCTCCTCCTCCTCCTCCTCCTCCTCCTCCTTTTCCTGTTCCTCTCCTCCCCTCCTCCTCCTCCCATCCTCCTCCCTCTCCTTCGACCTCCTCTTTCCTCCGCTTTCCTCCTCCTCCTCCTCCTCCTCCTCCTCCTCCTCCTCCTCCCTCCTCGAGATGGCGAGTTGGGGGAGGGATTGAAGGGAGGAGGAGAAGCAGGAAACGAGCATGGGACCAGACGACCCTTCTTTTCGCGTCAGAAGGCCGCCGCACGATCAGCGCCCCCGCGCCCCTCAGGGGCCACGCGGCGCCCGCAGAAGCTTGGGAAAGACTGTTTCTCTCCCTCGGCAAAGCGCGTCTGCAGCTGCACCACAGTCGGACCTAGTCTTCCTCCCTCCCCCTCCACCTCCTCCTCCTCCTCCTCCTCCTCCTCCTCCTTCTCCTCTCTCCGCCGCTTCCTCCTCCTCCTCTCCTCCTCCTCCGCCTCCTCCTCCTCCTCCTCCTTCCTCCTTCCTCTCCTCTTCCTCTCCTCCTCCTCCTCCTCCTCCTCCTCCTCCTCCTCCTCCTCCTCCTCCTCCTCCCCCTCAAGTACAGTCGGACCTTGGACAGAAGAACATCCTTCAAGAACATGCGACCCTCCGCCGGCCTAAACAAACGGAACATCCAAAGGAACCCTCCCCGGGATGCCCAGGACCGTTCAACAAGCACGAAGAACACTAGGGGGCCCTCCCCGAATCAACCTCGATCTTATACCTCGGTCGGGCTGCACGATGAGGGCAATTGTTTTTCTCACCTCTGGCCCTGGGGCTCGCTCGCAAACGAACTCCGAAGGCCGCCGCACGCGCACGGCGGCCTGGAGGGGCGGGCCCTCGGGGCCAAAGCCGCAGGCCTCGGCCCCAGCTCAGCCCAGGGCCAGGGGTCAACCTCCTGACTACAGAACCATTGGATATAAACGTGAACTTGCGACGTTCCGCGCGGATACCTTGGATCTGCACTGGGCGCGCCAGGGGCGGCGCCGCAGGCGCCGCCAGGAGGGCACAGCGCAGATCCAAGAAATCTGCGCGGAACGTCGAAAGCTTATGCTTCTGCAGCTGTTTTGTTCCTCGAGTGGATGAGAAGCTATTGGATAAAGAATCCAGGGTCTGGAAGCCGGAGGATCACCGACCGAGGCCTGGCCGTGGATGTCACCGCCGCCCTCGTCAGACGAAGAATCCTGCAGGGCCTGAAGCCTCCTGGGCACACTCCGTAACGACCGCGCCCCACCGTATATCCCGCCCTCGGAAGAGGGAGGAGGAGGTGGAGGGAGGAGGAAAAAGAAGAGGAGGAGGAGGAGGAACTGGAGGAGGAGGAGGAGGAGGAGGAGGAGGAGGAGGAGGACGAGGGACGAGGAGGAGGAGGAGGGGAGGACGAGGAGGAGGAGGTGGGGAGTGGGAGTGGGAGTGGGGAGTGGGGAGCGGGGAGAGTGGGGAGTGGGGATTGCGGAGTGCGGGTGGGGAGGGGGACGGGAGGAGCAGGAGGATCGTCCCTGAGGAGGAGGAGGAGGGAGGAGGAGGGGAGGAGGAGGAGGAAGGAGGAAGCAGGAGAGCAGGAGGAGCAGGAGGAGGAGAGAGAGGAGGAGGAGCAGGAGGAGGAGGAGGAGGAGGAGGAGCGGGGAGGAGGACTCTCCCTCTCCCTGCCCTGGGCCCGGGACCCTCCAACAGGAATCCAGAGCAGGCTTGGCCCCTCGGCCTTGCCTCCCCCCCCCCTGGGCGCGCCGCCGCTCACATCAGGACAGCCAGCCCTCCCTGCCGTCGCTCGGACGTCCACTCCCTGTGCCCAGACCTCCTCCTCCTCTCCTCCTCCTCCTCCTCCCCCCTCCTCCTAATTCGTCCTCCTCCTCTCCTCTCCTCCCATCCTCCTTCCTCCCCTCCTCCTACGCCTCCCTCCTCTCTTCCTCCTCCTCCTCCGCCTCCTCCTATCCGCCTACTTCTTCTCCTCCTCATCCTCCTCCTCCCCTCCTCTCAGCACAGCATCCATCATCATCTCATCACCACAACCACACCACCACACCATCACCACCACCACCACCATCATCATCATCATCATTCATCATCATCATATCAGCAGCAGCAGCATCTCATCAATCATCGTCATCATCAGCATCAGCATCAGCATCAGCATCAGCATCAGATCAGCATCAGCAATCAGCAGCAGATCATCATCAGCATCAGGACATCAGCACAGCATCAGCATCAGCATCAGCATCAGCATCATCATCATCAGCATCAGCAACAGCATCAGCACAGCATCAGCATCAGCATCAGCATCAGCATCAGCATTCAGCATCATCATCATCATCAGCATCAGCATCATCATCATCATCATCATCATCATCATCATCATCATCATCATCATCATCATCATCATCATCATCTTCATCATCGTCCGCCTCCTTCTCCCCCTCCTCCTCCTCCTCTTCCTTCGCCTCCTCCTCCTCCTCCTCCTCCTCGTCCCCCTCTTCCGCCTCCTCCTCCTTCTCCTCCTTCTCCTCCTCCTCCTCCTCCTCCTCCGTCCCCTCCTCCTCCATTCCTCTTCCTTATGAATAACTTCTCCCTGCCGCACTCTGAGGCCAGTATTTAGGGCGGGCTGGGCGTTTCGCCTGAGACTTCCTCACTACCATGACTCTGAAGCTTGACAAATGGCAACAGTCTCGCAGGTGGAGGGCGGGTGGTTTTCAAAATGTGGCTCTCGCCTTAGCACCGCGCACATTCGCTTTAAACAGGTTACAAGACTTTCACAGATTCTCATCCTCATCGGACCAGAAATGGCGTTTTGAACGATTCAAGATTATGCGGGCGCAACAGTTATGTTGATTCGCGGTGTCAAAGTCCCCAAATTGGCGTGCTGGCACGATTCCAGATCTTCAGGACGCAGCAGTCAGGTTGAACCGTGGCGTTGAAATCCCGAGAACAATGTTCTGGCATGCTTCAAGGTCTTCAAACGGTTGTCTTCCAACGAGGCAAATCCCTAAATGGAAATGCGCCGTTGAAGGGGCCTATGAAGAAGGAGCTTGGAGGGAGGGTTTGTTCCAACATCGTCGATGGCTCTGGGGCTTATGCTGGTCCTCCTCCTCCTTCTCCTCCTTCTCCTCCTCCTCCTCCCTCCTCCTCCCTCCTCCTCCTCCTCCTCCTCCTCCTCCTCCTCCTCGTGCGTGCCTTCGTCGGCGTCGTGCGCGCGCTCCTGCTCGAGGCTCCAGGGGGACGCGCCTCGAGGGGCCCTCGCCGAGGAGCGCACACGTCCGAGCGGTGCCGAGCCTTCCGCGCCAGGCCGAGCGGATTCTGGACGAACAACGACACACATGTTCTCAACATGCTCAAACACGGTCAACACATCATAATGGTAATAGTAATAGTAGTAGTAGTAATAATAATATAACAATAATAATAATACTAATACTAATACTAATAATCAATAAATAAATAAATAAATAAATAAATAAATAAATAAATACATAAATAAATAAATAAATAAATAATAGCAACAAGCATAGTAATAATAGTAAGACTAGTAATACTAGTGATACATAATAATAATACTAATAATAATAATGATCATAATGATAATTATACACAAAATGTAATATTATTATTATTAATAATAGTAGTAGTAGTAATAATAATAGTAATAATACTAATAACAACACTAATAATAGCAATACTAGTAATAATGGTAATACGAGTAATACTGATAATAAAACAAATCGTCCCCCCGCCCAGTAGTTGTCTGCCATGTCTGAAGACTCCTCCTGTGGAGAGACAGGCCCGACTCGAGCCAGGCCTTCACGCCCTCCGGCAGCCCGTGCCCTTGGTCACCGCGCGCTGCGCGCCTCGGACTGCGCGGAAGCGCGGCCGCCTCCGCGCTCTCGCGCCGCGAACGATGCGCACCCTACAAGCAAAAAAAAAAACCGTGCAGCAAGCGCACACGAGGAGGGATCGCACAGGGCAGGGCTGCCTGGTGAGGAGGAGGAGGAGGAGGAGGAGGAGGAGTGGGAGGAGGAGGAGGAGGGGGAGGAGGAGGAGGAGGGAGCGCCGAAGGCTGCTTGAAGCAACGCGCCAACATGGGCTGGAGCATCCGTGGTCCCCCCCCCAGACATCGGGCGTCTCGAAAAAATCGAGGCGGAGGTTTTTCACAATTTTCGGCCTCTCGGGGGCCCTCGCCAGGCCTCGGGACCGTCAAACAACGACTCGGGATGAAAAACCGGCCCTGGGGAAGTGGTCGGGAGGTCGGGTGCCCGTGTCCCGAAAAAATCGAGACGTCGGATGTCTGGGCCCCTTGGTCCCCGTCTCCCTCGCCGAGCTCTCCCGTGCCCTTGCTAGCCGCAGCCACTGCACGCTTCCTCTACTCAGACACCAGGGGTTGGAGCGTTCTTGTTCCTCGTCCTCCTCCGCCTCCTCCTCCTCCTCCTCCACCTCCTCCTCCTCCTCCTCCTCCTTCTCCTCCTCCCTTGGACCCTGTCGCCCTCGCACAGCCCTCCCATGCCCTTGCCAACACCCCTCGCCGCGACCACCGCACGCTTCCAGTAGCCAGGACGGACTGCGCGCAACTCGGACGGCATCTGCACGAAGCAGGCGGCACCAGTGGAGGGGAAGAGAACGGTGACCATGACCAAGACCGAACGCGGAAACGTCGTGCCGATCTTGGCCACCGTCCATCTCGGTCAAAGTCGAATCGTGGACCATTCCCGCGAATCGCCGGCGGCCGGCATGGACCATGGCCAAGATCGGCGTCGACGAGATCCCGCGACACCTTGCTCATGGTCGCCGATCCTCTCCCCTGCGGGGCAACGATACGGGGGGACTGGCATAGGGGGGGATGCATCGACCTGGAACCGGCGGCACATCGCCGATAGATCGGCGATGGGCCTCCGATCGTGAAGCCGCGCCCTCCTGGGCAGGCTGGGGCTCTCGGGCCCCGATCGGCGATCAGTGGGCGATTGGGGGGGTCGACGCACCCCCCCCCCCCTATGCCTACACCCTGCGAAATGCTTTAGAAATCATGGGCTAAGAAATTCATAGTCTCAGAATTTGAATAAAAACCCAGAGTGTCTAGTCAAATAGTAGGATTTGCATGGAACATTAAGAATAATCGAGACTCTGGCCAAAAACTTGGGTTTTCTTAAGCATCGCCTGGAGTGTATCCCCCCCTATCGTTGCCCCTGAGCCCCTCGAACCGGGAGCCACCCCACTGGACCTCGTGGCGGGCTCGCTACGCGGCCGCGGCCCGCCGGTCCGCCTCCAGCGCCTCCCGCTGGCTGCCCCACGCCTGGGCCAGCATGGCCTTGCCCTCCCGGGACCTCCGCTGCGCCCGGAGGCGGTCCTGGACCATCGCCTGCAGGGCGTCGCTCAGGACCTGCCTCTCCTGGGAGAGGGAAGCCCGGGCGAGAGCACAAGCCTTTGGCGCCCCGCGCGGGTTCTCGGGAGCTGCGCCGGACGCCCCTCCCTGGCGCGCGGAGCGCGCCCGGGGCGACGCCGGAGGCGCCGCTCGGGGGGGGGGAGGAGGAGGAGGAGGAGGAGGAGGAGGAGGAGGAGGAGAGGAGGAGGGAGGAGAGGAGGAGAGGAGGAGGAGAGGAGGAGGAGGAGGAGGAGGAGGAGGAGGAGAGGAGGGAGGAGGGAGGAGGAGGAGGAAGGAGGAGGAGGAGGAGGAGGAGAGGAGGAGAGGGAGGAGGAGGGAGGAGGAGGAGGAGAGGAGGGAGGGGAGGAGGAGGAGGAGGAGGAGGAGGGGGGCCCACGCGGATCGAAGACATCCGCGCGGAGCGCCAAGAGCTTCTGTTTGTGGCGCTGTTGCCTCCTCCAGCTCCTCGCGGATGCTGCCCCCGCGCTCCGCCTCCCGCCGCCGCTGGCCTGCCTCCATCTGCCTCAGGAGCGCGCCGCAGTGGGCCCTCGCGACGCTGGCGTCCTGGTGGGGCTTCTCCTCGGGCCCCCAGTAGCCAGCGCACCTCCCCTGCGCGTCGGCCGCCTCCTGCTTGCTCTTGGACCTCCTCTCCTCCATCTGCCTCCGCAGGGGGCGGAGGCGGGGGAGGCGGCGAGGCGGCCGCCGTGAGGGAGGAAGAGGAGGAGGAGGAGGAGGAGGAGGAGGAGGAGGAGGAGGAGGTGGAGGGAGGATGAGGAGGAGGAGGAGGAGGATGATGATGAGGAGGAGGAGGAGGAGAAGGAGGTGGAGGAGGAGGAGGAGGAGGAGGAGGAGGGGGAGGAGGAAGAAAATTAATCATGAGAATCCGTCGGCCCCCTTGTGAGGCCACCAGGCTGCAGGGTGAGGACATGCTGCACCCTGCACCAGTTGCAGTTTCAAATCGCCAATGTTACAGTCCTGCTTTCTGCTTCCTACTGTAAATAAACTGTTGAAGTCCGCGCGAGGGGGGGGGGAGCTCCAAACCGGCAAGTCACTACACGCCCAAATCGCGTTGCCTGAATTCCCTGGGGGGGGCGTGGGACATGTACAAATACATAAGGTTCGCGCCCCCGAAGCCATAATCCTCCGTAAATTACGCGATGACCGCACCCCCGAAGCGCGGCGTTCAGCGGCCAGCTCGAGCCCGCCCACCGCCCCAGCTCAGCTCCAAATCCCCCGGCTAGTGCGAGCGCCGCCAGGGTCACCATTCCCTGAGCCGGGACGGCTATATTACGGAAAAGAAGAGCAAGCAATTCAATGGCGGCTGCTCTGTCTCCAGAGATTCTGCATCTACACGCAAGCTTCGATCATATACGTACACGCATACATATCATGTCATGATAAAGAGGGGGGGGGGGCCAGCGGCAGGGGGTCTAGCCCTACGGATAAAAATCTGACAAGAAAAAAGACTCGGCATTGCGCGAGGTCTCATCCTGGGCTTGGGACTCGAGGATCGGCAAATGAATTCCAACCATTAGAAACCTCAGAATTGTCGTCGGCGCGGGTCGGCGAAGTCAAGAGATCCACGCACCGCGCAGCTCGAAGAACAAATTTCGGGCCGAAGCAAAACGCAACAGTTCCCGTGGGCTGGCGGCGCTTCCCCTCTGGCCTCGACGCCGCCGGGTCCCGCGCCGCCGCGCGCGACGGACGAGCCTCCGCATCGCCCTCCGAACCCAGACCCCCGACGTAATGATTTTTTCATTACGTCGACCCCCAGAGGTCCCGACCCTTTCTCCCCATGACCGGCTCTGCATCCCGAGTCGTTTTTTGACGCCCCCGAGGCCCGGCGAGGGCCCCGGGAGGCCGAACAGTAGGAAAAACCTCCCGCGTCGTGATTTTTTCATTATACTCGAGGGGGGTCTGGGAAAACCCCCCCCGTCGTGATTTTTGCATTGCTCGAGGGGGGTCTGGGAATTCACCGACGCACTACGAGGTCGCGCAGAAGCCGGCGCGGGGCCCGCCCGCGAGCCGCGGGCCCTGCCCTGACTCCAGATCCGCCCTACTTGGGGGAAATTCGTAAGGAGGGCTTGGAATTTCCGCCTCACTTTTCAAGCCCCGCTGATGCCAATTTCCGCCCTAACTTTTCTGTTGCTGTTTCCGCCCTACTCCTGTGGATTTCCGCCCTACTCTATGTTGGGTGCAGCAATCTCCGCCCTACTTTTTCGGCCTCTGATGGGTGGATTTCCGGCGCAATTTTGAGTTGGAAAAAAAAAGCCAAAGTAGGGCGGATCTGGAGTCAGGGTGGCCCGAGGCCCCCCGCGCCCCTCAGCCCGAGGGGCGCCGACCTCGGGCCCCCCCGGCGGCGCCCCCTATAGGGCAGCGCTCGCTCGAGGAGAGGCCCGCGGGCCCCGGCCACTGCGAGGTCGCCCCCAAAAAAACTTCCCGATCGGAGGCCCCCGGCCGAGCTCTCCGAGCGGAGCGCGCCCGAAGAGAGGCGAGGGGCCCAGACCCCCTCGAGGAATGAAAAAATCCCGACGGGAGGTTTTTCCTTCATTTTCGGCCTCCGGGGGCCCTCGCCGGGCCTCGGGGGCGTCAAAAAACGACTCGGGATGCAGAGCCGGTCATGGGGAGAAAGGGTCGGGACCTCTGGGGGTCGACGTAATGAAAAAATCATTACGTCGGGGGTCTGGGAGGCCCCCCGCGCCCCAGCCCGAGGGGCGCCGACCTCGGGCCCCCGGCGGCGCCCCCTATAGGGCAGCGCTCGCTCCGGGAGAGGCTGCGGGCCCCGGCCTGCGAGGTCGCCCCCAAAAAACTTCCCGGGGAGGCCTGGCCGAGCGCCGACCGGAGCGCGCCCGAAGAGGCGAGGGGAGGGGGGGCGGGGAGCGGCCTCGCCGCGGGCCCTCTCGCAGCCGGGCGGGCGGAGCGGCGAGCGGCCTGCCCCCAGCCCGCGGGGTGGGCCGCGCCGAGCTGCTCGGCCGCGAGATCGCCCTCCGGGCAGGCGGCGGCGCCCAGCGCGATCGCGAGCCCATCCGCAAGAACATTCAGGGCTGGAGTGTCGCAGCGCACGCGCGCAAGGTCGGCGAGGCCGACGCCTTCGGAATCGGACCCGAGAGCGCAATCGGCTTCGCGCGCGCGATCGAAGAGCATGCGCCAACCCGTCCCAGAACGAGTTCGCTGGTAGCGCAATATTTCCCAAGGCCGGCATATCGCGAGCAGCCGATGAGAAGTGCTCGTCGGGAGCAAGCATGGCCGCCGAGCTTCGCGCGCAAGGGCACTGACTCGCGCAGCGGGCGGCGCCCGCGGCCGCGCGGCACGGCGCCCAGCAGCGCGCCATAGAACAGACCTGTTGAAATCTAGTCGTCGAAGAGACGAAGGATATGATGCGCGCTCTCCGCGCCAACTTGGAGATGCGAGCCCTCGCCCATCACCTAACGGGCAATGAGTGAGACGATTGCTATAAATTGGATCGACCATGTTCGCGCGCTCCCACTCGCGCCCGCAGCGCGCGCAAACGATATTCTCCAAAGTGTTCACTTGCGGCCCCCCTTGCCCCTGCCCCGCGTCGTCTTCGCCCTGTCAAGCAACTTCTGGGCAGGCGATTCCAGGTGCCCCTGCGGCGCCGCCCCCAGCTTCAGCTTGCCGCCCATGGTCTCCAGCGCTACGATGGCACCCTGCTCGAGCTCCAGCTTCGAGTAAGTGAGGTCGGTATCAGGTCGGCCTGGTTGAGATTTGCCGTTCAAAATCAAATGGTCGGCGATCGCGAACTGCATGCGCGCGCGCTGATCGTCGCGGCATTTCTTCGGGCGGAAGTGACGAATCATCAAGCCAGGCTTTGGTCATCTGCGCGCGTGAGATGAACTGGCCGAAAAGCATCACCATGATTCCATCGAGTTGGCGGCGTGGTCGCCAGCTCTTCAGCCTCAAGCTTCAGCTTCGTCGCTCGCGAAGCGCTTGCACTCGGCGCGCGCGACGTGCACGCGAGGAGGACCGATCTGGGGCTTGGCCGCGGCGATCTGCGCCAGCCGCGCGCACTGCCCCCCCGCTTCGGCGCCCAGTAAAGCCCAGTAAAGCGGCCGGCGCGCTGACCCCCCCTCCCTTCGCGACAGGAGGTGCGTCGCGCATTCGTCGCCCGTGCGCCGCCCGCGCGTCGGCCGCCGAAAAGGCCAGCCGTCGTGCCCGAGGAAGCGATGGCGCCGATCCACGCCGACGCCGCCGGGCCCCCCCGCAGCCGCCGCGCGCGCAGGCGGGCCGCTCTTGGGCGGAGCCCTGCGCGCC